AAAGTTCATCATGGGCTTCCCTGGTGGCGCAGTGGTTGAGAGTCCGCCTGCCGATGCAGGGGACACGGTTTAGTGCCCCAGTCCGGGAAGATCCCACATGCCGCAGAGCGGCTAGGCTCGTGAGCCATGGCCGCTGGGCCTGCATGTCCGGAGCCTATGCTCCGCAGCGGGAGAGGCCACAACCGTGAGAGGCCCGCATACCGCAAAAAAAATTAAAAATAAAAATAAAATAAAGTTCATCATATATCATCATATCATAAAGTTGTGATATCTCAACTTTATGTTAACTTGATGTGTTAGCTGTTGTTGTTATGATTATTAGATGAACCATCTCATTGTTGACTCTCTGATTTATGACAGCTTCACCTCTGCCCACATCTCCCCTTCCTATTTCTTCTTTCATAAGTACTGACTTTTTGTCCTTGATGATTCTTTTTTCTCTTTCAATGATGTGAATCTGGATCATTTTCCATGAATTGTTAGATGGGAATGAGTACTCTTGGAAAACTGTATACTCTTGATAAAACTTACTTGAGTTAGAATTGGAAAGCTTTACTTCTCATCAGTAATTGGCCTATTTTTGTTACTCCAAACAAAGCAAGACCACACTTCTCTTTTCTGTCCTGACCACTGATCTGAGTTTGATCCACTAAGCCTTTAGGATCACTAGAGTTTTCTTGCAACTTGGCATGTATTTATGTATACATTAGTTCATGAAGTAACAAACAGGGATCATATGGGACACCTTCTGGAAATGAAAGGGTTAGCAATTCGATCCCTAAGAGTCATCCCATATACAGACCACATATATACAAATGGAGATCTCTCAAAACTGTCTTATCTCCCTCACAGTGAGTAAGGTCATTAAGGGCATAGTCTGATCCTTCATCAGAAATTGACACCCAGTAGCACCCAGTTTTGTGAATACAATCACTGCACACTGCAGTGATTTTAACTGTCTGTTGAAGGAACCAGTCAAAATGAACAAGCAGCATTTGGGGTTGTTGGTAAAAACAGCCTTTACCCCATGCATTCTTGGAAAGATAATAAAGGATCAATCTGCTAATAATAATAGTGTATTCCATAGGGAAGCAGCAAAAGCAGAGCAGTTAAGAGCTTGGCCTCTGGAGTCAAGACGGCCTGAATTCAGATCCTAGCTCAACCACTTCCTATGACCCTGGGAAGAGTCTCTCCTCTCTCAGCAGATTTCTGGACTGAAAAATGGAGAAAATAATAGTACCTACTTCATAAAATTGTTGGGAAACCTAAATGAAATAACATATTAGGTGCTTATGAGAGCATCCAGCCATCAGTCAGCTGTCATTTATAGAGCATTTTCCATGTGCCAGGGAATCTGCAAAATGTTTTGCATTTACTACTTTAATCATCACAGCCATGATCTTTTGATAGAGAAAATGAAGCTGAGAAATGTTCAGTACGTTTTCCAAGAAAACGCAACTGGTTCATGATAGAGGAAGAATTAAAGTCCAAAGTCCGACTCTGCCAAGGTCCTTACATTCTAACTTCAAAGAATTCACATGGGTCCAATATCCATACTTTAAAATAACACTGTCACTGGGCTTCCCTGGTGGCGCAGTGGTTGAGAGTCCGCCTGCCGATGCAGGGGACGCGGGTTCGTGCCCTGGTCCGGGAAGATCCCACATGCCGCGGAGCGGCTAGGCCCATGAGCCATGGCCGCTGAGGCTGCGCGTCCGGAGCCTGTGCTCCGCAACGGGAGAGGCCACAACAGTGAGAGGCCCGCGTACCGCAAAAAAAAATAATAATAATAACACTGTCACTAACAAACCATGTACCTTTACAGGCACTTCAAAACTGGAAACCCCAACTTACAGTATCCTGCAAGTAAGAACAGCAGATCTGTCTTACGATGATGTTAAAGGCATTTACAGTGGGTACAAAGCCCCTTTCTTTCCATGTTACCATGTCATTCTCACCTTGATCCTGAGAGATCAGAAGGGCATATATTATAGTCTCAGATTTTAAAATGAAGACATTACAATAAATGCAAAAGCACTTTTAAAAATATAAGTATCAGACATGTGACACCATCACCAAAAAGACTTTTGGAAATGTACGTCTGATTATGTCATTGCACTGCTTAAAAATCTTCAGGTGATTCCCCACCAGTTACAGCACAAATAGTCCAATCTCCTTGGAATTGCCCGAAAGTACCCTTACAGTTTCTGCTCTTCCCTACAAATCCCAGGCTTTAGCTACACAGATGACTTGCAGTTTCCATTTGAACCCGTCTCCCTGCTGTGTACCTGTAGCTCCATCCCTCGGTAGTGGCCTTCCCTTTCACTCTAGTCCATCAAGCTAGTTAAATCTCCTCTCAAATAATACAGGTACTCACAGCCATTGCAGCTAATCTCTCACCCGTGTTGTAACTGTCTCACAGCACATCCATGGTCATGTTAGACTAGAACTTCTTTCAAGGCAGAACTGTGTGCTTATCTTCATTTTATTCCAGAGGCTTAATAAATATGTATTAAATGTGAATGACTTAAGGGATTCCCCCTGACCATATGGTCTTTTTGACTTTAGACATTTTCATTCTATTTTATTTTCACGACCTTAAAAACAAATAAAAATATGAGACTTTCAATTCCTTTATTACTAAGTAATGAACATGATGGATGGACATCCTCACACCATTTCTGACCCTTGCCCCGTCTCCTACTAGGGATGAACTTCACCGATGGGCCGAGTTTCAGGCCAAGTGTGAAAATGCCTAATAAAATGAGAAGTTGAAATCTGAATGGTATGTTTTCCAACTACTCACTGCACCAAATGCCCTGAGATGCCCTGTTCCCTTATCCTCACGCTGGATGATCTGTGGCAAATTTAACACAAAATCTATCTGGATTTCACAGTTTAGCCACATGACAATGAAACAGATATTTGCAGACTGGCCCCTGAGCCTATGCTGGGGCCAGTGATGAAATGATTATGACGTGTGGCAACAGCCAATTTACCGATATTTATTTTAAACACAGTAAGTAGTACATGTCCATACTAGGGCTGCGTATTCTGTTTGTTGTTTTATTTTGTTTTGTTATATTTTTGAAGAATTGATATAATCTTAAAAGTATGTAACTCAGAGGTCTCCAGTGCACCAACTACCAGTAACTTCATAGTAAACCTTTTACAACGTTACAGTAAGACATGGCCCCTGCCCTCCCAGAGCCTACAGTCTACTGACCCCAGCACCCGCTTGTCCACTGCACCCAGCAGAACCCCCAGGTCCCCCATTCCTTCCCTACCGGCAGTGTACACCGACCACTACTACCACCAGCCTCTCCTGACTTCCTGTGTTAGTTTATATAACCTCATTCCCCCTGACAAACATATGCCCTTCCTTCTCTCATAAACCTTCCTTCACTACCAAAAGCAAAATACCCGTCTCTGCCACCTTTAACAAAACTCTCAAAGACAGAAGGACCTTGTACCTTCCGTAAAAACGCAAAGGACAGGCATCCCAGGCTTTCTACAAAGCCCCATCAATATCTCACGCCCCCGCCTTTCACCCATCTTCCCTTTCTGCTGAGCCAAATATCTGGTACCCTGGTTCTGGCACTGTCTCCTCCACTCCCTTGGCGGTATCTTGACAGGGCAAGGAATCAGGCCTCGGTGGCCAAACACTTTTTGGTACTCGCCCAGCTCTGCACCTCTCCCAGGCCACCCCTGCCCACTCTCACTTGGCTCCCAAGCTGTCTCCATCCTCCCTCCACCCCATTGTCCCCCTCCACCCTCCTCTTCGAAGGCCTGGGTGAGACCAGCCAGCATCTCACAACAGAAGCCAGAAGAAGCTCAAAGCTGTTGCCCCAGAAACCTGGACTAGAGAATGGCTGGCTGGGTCCTGTTTGTTTTTCCCGTAATCAGAAAATCCCACTGGGGGACACTAGGGGGACTCTCAGCCGCCATGAAGGCTGGGACCTGAGCTAGTCCCCTCCAGTCCCCACCCCCACCCCCGAGGGAGTACAAGTACCAACTTTGCATGATGGTGGGAGGCAAAAGAAACTGAGTGGGAAAGGGCCTGGGGGAGAGAGTGGGGGAGGGGAGAGAGGCCCGATCCACTGCAGAAACCAACTCCAATAAACACCTGGCCTTTGGCCTTTACAAGAGAGCTCCCCAAGACACACCCCAATCTACCCCATTACCATTTCTGAGAAAAAAAAACCGAGGAACAACCACCCCAGAAAGCACAGCTCACATACACACAAACCACACAGGCACTGCCGGCGGGGGGATAGATTTCCACAGCAGGCTCAGCTTTCAGCCAAGTAAAACAAGCCATCACTTCTGGGACCTAAAGGCAGTGCAAGGGAACACTGGGTAACAGAAACACTGGCCCCTCCCAGGTATTAATTAATCAGGGATGCATGATGGCTAAACCCTCAAGAGCACAAGGGGCAGAAGCTGCTACAAACACATGATGCTGACAGAGATGCTACACTTAAAAACACACACACACACACACACACACACACAAAACCGCATCCAGGTTGCTAAAATACCCTCCGCAATTCTGGGTACCAGAACCCAGGAATCTACCCCCACCACCCCCGTTAAATGTGGTCGCTCAGAGCTCCCATGCAAACATGGAAACGAAGCTTCCAGCAAACACACCGGGAATCACTGAGTTAATACTTTCAGATTGGCACGGTGGCGACTGCACATAAATAGGAAACTTCAATGCAGATGCCTGTAAATATCCCCTTGGTTTCAAAGGTATCTATTCCTCCAACTAGAAGACAGGGCCAAACAGCTTAGTCACCAGCAGGCAGGGCCAATCGCTCTTTTGATAAATCAGGACAGAAAGTAAACATGGTCATCCTCCTTCTCCACCTTGAGCGCAGATCTCTGCCCAGCGCATCAGCTCCCAGCCAGACAGGGCCCCCGGGGACTCCATGGGTGAATTTCCACAACTCTCCTCGCACCTCCCTCTATCCCCTGCCCCCGCCCCCACTTGCTCTTACCTGCTATCCTAAGCACTGCCCTCTCCGCAGGGTCCAGCACCGAGCCCCCGTGGATCTTTCTTTTCGATCTCTCATGTTTAGGCAAATTCCAGGGTAAGGTATCTCCAGGAGCTGGAGATGCAGAGCCAGATTTCTGGCTGAAATCATCTTCATCAGAAAAATCCGCAGAGGAAGACATCGAGCAGCGGTAGGACGCGTTCCCCGAACTCTACAGGGGATGACACAGAAAAAAAGCATCAACAGCAAAACACTCACGTCGGCTCGTCCATCTCAGCAGCCCCCTCCCTGCCCCCAAACGGAGTCCGGCATCCTGCATCATCTTCAGCGCGGACGGGGGACCCACACCAGAACCGACACCCAAGGCTCACCATCTTCCCTGGGCCACGGCTCTGACACCGGCCACACGCCCCGGGCAGCTCCAGTTCATGGAAGATTTGCGCCCAAGTGTGTGGCCTGCGGTCCGGCCACCAGCTCACAAATGACTGGCCCAACAATGAAGCCAGAATCCACAGCCTTCCTGTTACAAACCTATAGTATTTGGCTCCCCCACCAGGCCAGGACCGAAATTTTCCATTACTAGCCTGCTGCTTAATTCATTAACGCAACTCACTCCAAGTTGCAAAAACAAAGCACAAATGCAGGATGCTGAGTCCCAATTCCTTTCCGTTTCCAGTGGAGTCTCCCCTCTAACCAGGTTTGAGCCCTCGTCCCCTTTAGTTAATTTTCTTCCTGAGCTTGAAGCTGGCTCCCAGAAGAGAGCAAGGCGGGAGGAAGGGCTGATTATGAGAAGAGCCTTTTCTGAAGACCGGGAGGACACAAAAGACTGTTTTCAGAAGCCAAAGGCAGTGCCAATAAACAAACATCTGAACTCAGCTTAGAGTTCTTGAGATCATTTAAACTACTAGCAAAGTAACAGCTGCCAGTGACGGAAATGAGAATGATGCAGCAGCTCCCCTCCGCCCCTGGTCATTACACAGTGAAATGAGAAACATGAGGCTTTGACCCACATGCTTGGCCTGACCTCAGTCTCCCTTCCAGGAACAGGAGCCGGTCTGCAGGGCGTATCTCGCATTAAAGGGTCTGTCTTCCCCACAGGGACAAGGCACCAGACGTTATCCCTTCCTCCTTGGTTGAGTTAAGTTTGTGATGATTCAGGGAGCCACCAGCTTACCATGGAAACGAGGATGCCGACTATCTGTGCTGTGAACAGAGTTCTAAACAAGATAAAGCATCCAAGGGAAATCTTCACTTCCCCATTTAGAACTTTGCTGAGGCTCAAGATGCAAAACTGGTGTAACTCGAATTCCTGAAATGGAACTTGCAGCCTCAGACTCCTACGAAGCCGGGTGGCAGGCAGGAATCAGTGGCGCGCTCCCATCAGAGTAGAAACCCTGGGCTGCTCACAAAAGCAGTGGTGACGCAGCAAAAACAGGCTGTGTGACAACATCCCAAGGCGTGTGGAATAAACCAGAAGTGAATCAGGACCTCGCCTCCATCTATTCAGGCATGACAGTCCTTATTCACTTCTACTGGCCAACACCATCATTTTTTTTTTTTTTTGGAGTAAAATTGCTCTACAATGTTGTGTTAGTTTCTGCAGTACAATGAAATGAATCAGCTATATATATACCTATATCCCCTCCCTCTTGGACCTCCCTCCCACCCCTCCATCCCACCCATCTAGGTCAACACAGAGCACCGAGCTGAGCTCCCTGTGCTATACAGCAGGTTCCCACTAGCTATCTATTTTACACATGGTAGTGTATTTATGTCAAACCTAATCTCCCAATTCACGTCCACATGTCCATTCTCTACGTCTATGTCTCTATCCCTGCCCTACAAATAGGTTCATCTGTACCATTTTTCTACATTCCACATGTATGTCTTAATATACGATATTTGTTTTTCTATTTCTGGCTTACTTCACTCTGTATGGCAGACTCTAGGTCCATCCACATCTCTACAAATGACCCAATTTCGTTCCTTTTTATGGCTGAGTAATATCCCATTGCATATATGTACCACATCTTCTTTATCCATTCATCTATCGTTGGACATTTAGGTTGTTTCCATGTCCTGGCTATTGTAAATAGTGCTGCAATGAACACTGGGGGACATGTGTCCTTTTGAGTTATGGTTTTCTCAGGGTATATGCCCAGTAGTCGGATTGCTGGGTCATATGGTAGTTCTATTTTTAGTTTTTTAAGGAACCCAACACCATCATTTTAAAAGTACACATACTATTTCCTGTAAAGTGTCTAAGATTTACCTTTAGCTTTATTCTTTCCCCCCAAAAGCAGTCTTCCATTTTACTTTACATGAAATGTCATCACCTTGGTTAATTATTAACTTATTTAGATTTTGTGTGTTTTCCTAGTGGCAATCATGTACTATGCAAATAAATAAATAAAATTGATTTTCTGTATTCGCTGGAGTCCACAGAGAGTTGTGAGGAGCATTAAGTCAGTCACAGGATGCTATCAACCTACTTTATTTTCCATGCTTTTCTGAAAATTCATCTTGAGCTCTCTCCGTGTTGCTGGCTGGATTGGTGAAAAAGGATGACATTCTTAAAGACTTTTTCAAAAGGGTATTGGGTTTCCTTGGTTGCCTTCTGTCTTCCTTAAAATGGCTTCCTACCTGTCCTTATGAAAGGTCATCTTTTATCTGTGAGCTTGTATTTCTTGTTGTTTCCTATACTCTTTCAGTGAGGATAGTAATTTGATTGTTTTTTACAGACAGACTTGGGGAATAACTGTTAAAGGACTGCCCCCATACAAAAATCCCTGGTTACTGATTTTTGTAGACAGAGTAAAATTTTTAATGGTTAGCATCTCAGCTGATGGAACAGCAAAATGTGATTTATGCCATGACATAAACACCACTCATCACACATAGCCAGATGGGAACAGTTACTACCCTGGACCCAAGGGTGTTGACTGGTGCAGCCTCTAATCTGGACGTGTCCTTGGTAAATGGATGAGAAAGGAAGACAAGACAATCGGCAATACCTCTTTCAACAACATGGCAAGGGAAATATGGACACACGCAGAGGAAAAGCACGCTGACTTATACATGACAAAGTCTCTCCCCTGGCTATGTGACTCGAGCGTTTTAACCATTAAAGTATTCAATTTTTCCCCACAATAATTTTCATGAAGACTTTTTAAATATAAGGTAAACTATACAAAAGTAGGCCCATTTGAACCCTGGAAAGTAAGAATCGATTTTTTTTTATCATTTATATGTTTTGTATTCTGAGAATTACCTTTTAATTCACTTTTGAATTTTTAGACATATGCACTCTTCGGTATAGAAATTTCTTTTTTTTTTAGCCTTATTTGGTTGATTTATTTAATTTGAAGTTTCTTTTTTTTCTCGGTAGTGTTTGTTTGAAGTTGGCTCTTTAGCAGCCAATGAGGTAGAGACTAAATTGGCCACCTTTTAAGGGCTACTGAATTTAGTCTTTTAGGCTACAAGTGTGTGATTCAGTAAATGAGCTTACTTTAGTGAATGAAAGGTTGTCTGTGGTTTCTGTCTTCAAATCTGGGGAAATTATATTTGGAATCTTAATAAATTTTCATTCACTGTTATGTCAGTGGCATTCATATCAATGAATAAAACAGACTTCATAAAACAAGCATTCCAGGTGGGATGCTGTAAATTCTGTCACTAACTTGTTCTTTCCTAGTATCAGGCAAACTGGCTGATCAGATAGCCGATTTTTTTTGTTTCTTTTTTGTTGTTGTTAATTCTTTTTTTATTGAAGTATAATTGATTTACAATGTTGTGTTAGTTTGAGGATTCTTTTTCAGATTCTTTTCTCTGAGAATGGATTAAAATGAAGCTGCTTTGAAGTCAATTGACCCTCTAAAACTATTCTTTATTGATTTCAAATGACTTGCCAATTCACGTCTCTACCTTTGGGGGTTAGAGGACTGAGTGTGAAAGTACAGTTCTCCTTTCTTATGGAAAAAGCAAACATATTCTCTGACCCAAAGTCCAGAGCCTAACCTTTGATGTGGGGCTTGGAAGGTAAGACAAAGGAAGAGGGCTCTTGGGACCAGCAAAACCCCGAGTTCCTCCTGTCTCTTCCTCTACTCCTGTTGCTTAAGGTTTGATTCCTGTTAAAATATAAATATCTATGTCCATGATAGAAGATTGGTTAAATAAGTGACAGTATACCCATACAATGGACTACCCTGCAGCAATTAAACAAAAATGTTATTGATCTACATTTAGCAAAGTGGGAAGGGTTCATATAGAATGATTCCTTTAAAAAATATCTGTGTGTGTGTGTGTGTGTGTGTGTGTAGATAGACAGACAGTAAGATGATTTAAAGATGAATAGGTAGATACATGATAGGTAGATAGGTAACTATCTACCAATGTGTAAACAGCAGTTATTTCTGGGTGATGACTAATACTATGAATGAATTTAGTTGTATTCCTTATAAGTTTTTAATCCAAAACAAATAGTACACAAAAATATTATTAAGAAGAAGAAGATACTACGTCAAGGGTCAGAGAAAATATCAAAGGTTGAAGGAGGAAATAATTATTTAAGCCAGTGTTTTTAACTATTTGAGGCTCACAGACACCTCTGAAAAGTTGATGAAATCTAGGGAAGCCTCTCTTCAGATCAAAGCCCATCAGCAAATACACACAAACTTTGCATGTGATTTTATGGAATTCACTGCCCCGGGTTAAGCCCCCAATTTACAACCATGAACGGTCAACCCCGTTTGGCATGTGTGTTGAAAATGGAAAAAAAAAAAAAAAAGGTAAAGAATGTGGAGTATTCAGAAGAGGAGAAAGGTAATTAGGATAGTAAAGACAAAGTTGGCCCAGGTCATCATGTTTTTAACATTTGGCTTTTTATTTTTTATTTTTTTTAAATAAAGGACTGTGAAATACCTCTGGCCCTGATATTGGATCTCTACAACCAAAAAAACACAAAAACAAAAAAAAACACTAGGTTGTGAGAAACTAAAACCCCAAGCATTGTGTCTTATTACAACCTACTTATTAAGGCAGTTTGAACAATTGAATTAGATCACCGAAAGCTTTAAAATGACTTTCCTAATTGCCAATTCATTCACGTGGTATAAAAACAACCCAAATCTCCTAAAGCCAGGATAATTACATAATGTGACATTTTTAGAAGGGAACTAAACAATAACTCCTCTAACTGAAACCCCGGTGGGG